AAAATAAATAAAAAATATAATAGTTGTGATTGCCTTTGCCCATTTTCAACACTCTACCCATTGTTTTCCCCAAGAACCCTGAACTTCTATCAACATCATCATCCAGTCCACGTAAAATCTTATCTTGAATTCTCACTTCATTGCCAATTTCTATAGACATATGTTTCAGTGTACTTATTTTGCCTCCGAGTTCTTCTGCCATCCTTTCATTTTCAAATTCCAAGGCGTCTTCTGTTGCAACCCGAGGAACGGGTTGATATTGATAGCCATCACGGGCCCGTCGCATACTGCTTCGCCCCGCCGTGTTGAAAATTTCTTGAAAAGTTGTGTAAATAAATTATAGGTTCACAAACAAGCAATGTTTTAGATAATTTAAATTACAACTAAATACAAATTAAATAAAAGTAAATTTAAATTACAATTTCACTAACCAATGTCGGTTCTTAATTAATAATCAACAAAAATAATTTATTTTGCAAAAAAAATTGCGTGACACGACACCATTCACAATATTGTAATCAAATCAAAACCACCATTAAATGTCATTTATAATCATAAAAAAGGCATGTCGACAAAATATCGATATATTGTTATTTTTAATTCCTCGTAACTATCGATATTATCAGCCGATATACTTGGATTCGATATATCGATACAAAATATTCAATATCAAAAATCGTATCAAGAACTTCGGGAAGCTACGACACGTTTTGAGTCGTCAATGCCGCAATGCCTCAAGTCCAAAGTGTTTAGCCAGTGCGTCCTACCAGTAATGACCTACGGAGTTGAAACGTGGACACTCACCGTGGGGCTGGTCCACAAATTCAAGGTCGCTCAGCGGGCGATGGAACGCGCACTGCTTGGGGTTTCTCTGGCAGACAAAATACGAAACGAAGTCATCCGCCAGAGAACTAAAGTTAACGACATTGCGCGCAGAATTAGCACGCTGAAGTGGAAGTGGGCTGGCCATGTCTCCAGACGTACTGATGGTCGCTAGAGCCGACACGTATTAGAGTGTACACCACGGTTAGGAAAACGAAGAATGGGACGGCCTGCAGCACGATGGACGGACGACTTAATAAAGGTGGCGGACAGCGGATGGATGCGGGCTGCCCATGACCGGGATAGTTGGCGTCCTTTGGGAGAGGCTTACGTTCAGCAGTGGACGGCAATAGGCCGATATTGTTGTATTAAGAACGTCAAATTCTCAACATTTCTCTATCGATAAAAATTTTTTGATATTGAAAAACGAGACGTATTGTTTGAAATTTTTCCATATTTAATACTTGACACCTTCATTTTTGGACAAAGGACACAATCAATTTGTAGGACCTAAATAAATAATATTATCCCACTTCTATAAATCGATCTATCGATAATGGTATTTTTACAAATATCTATATCGATAGTTCGATATTTTCTTTCTTTTTTAAAAAAAAAATCATTTACTACATCCAGTAAACCAGTCAAAGATAGGGTTGCAACTTGCAACGACTTAGTACAAGAGCTAGCAACGTTGGGAAAACAAGAATTTTAGGTAGATCGGGTTTTAGATATGCTACCTCTCTCATACTCTGCCCTGGACGTCATAAGGGCTATCTGGCTAGCGAAAGAGATTGCGTTCATCATTGCGGATCGTACCTGTACGGGTAAAATATCAATTTTTCAAATAATTTTAAGGTTTCTGTTTTTTTTAATTGAATTTTTTGCAACATGAATCTATTTTTGCCGGATATTTTTATCATTTTTTAAACTGTTTCAAGCGCTTATTTTGAATTTTAGATTTTTTTCAAAATATTTTAGTATGGCTGAAGTTTTAATATGATTTTATTTAATTACCTAAAAACCCAAAATTAATTTGCCAAACACTATATATAACGTTATTTATACATCCAAGACTTGTAAAATACAATAGACATGAAGAAAATATCTAAAAAGTATTTTTAAACTTAACGATACAATTACTCCACAATTTAGCATTAAACATGAAACCATAGATACGTTAAATATGTCGAAATTGACACGGATTCGATAGTCGAATATCGATATATCGCGATAAAAAAAATCGACAATATAATAAAAAATATCGAAAATTGTACGGAAAAATTTCCACATTTTTATATATCGATATTTTTTGCCCATCCCTAAAGCAGACGTCATCATGTCATTTTTTTTCCCATTTCTAGCACGTGGTTGTAATCAAGCAGTAAACGTAGATTACATTCTCTCTGTTATGCATGTTTGCACAAAAATGAACTTGATGAATTAATGTTTGTTACAAGTTGATCCGAACCTGTTCGCAAAGTGCATAAGGAAACTGCAAACGAACATAAAACATAAAAGGCATACAAGATGATGAAAAGTACAAGTGATACAAAGCGAGAATAATTTAAATTAAATAATAATATATTACTACATAATATTTAATATCATGCAGGTTTTTAGGGTTCCGTACCTAAAGGGTATAACGGGACCCTATTACCAAGAATCCGTTGTTTGTCTTTCACCAGGCTGTATCTTGTGAACCATGGTAGTTAGACATTTGAATTTTACACAGATGATTCTGTTGCCGCTATATCAACAAATACTAAAAAACATTCAACAGACATGACTTTTTTCTGTTTTATAGATAATGGTACGTAATCCTTTGTGCGTGAGTTCTACTCGCATTTGGGCGGTTTTTTTCAAGTGATAGAAAAATATTATGTCAATTGCAACGATTACAGCAAGGACGGAGCGTCATATAGGTTTTTATGCATCGTCAGCACATTTGTTTGCAAAAAATCTTAATGAATGCATACGTCGCTCCATTACGTTATTAGAGCAGTAAATAAGATAAGAAACTATTCACTAACACCCAGTTTCCTAAACACTAATCATCATAGAAGTTAACTAATCAGCCGTGAAATGGCTTTTCATACGTTGTTGCCAAAAGGATTGTTAAACTCTCTGAATTGATCAAAATGATATTCTTTATGATGAGAGTGATCTTCTTTATGATGAGAGTGATCTTCTTTATGATGAGAGTGATCTTCTTTATGATGAGAGTGATCTTCTTTATGATGAGAGTGATCTTCTTTATGATGAGAGTGATCTTCTTTATGATGAGAGTGATCTTCTTTATGATGAGAGAGTGATCTTCTTTATGATGAGAGTGATCTTCTTTATGATGAGAGTGATCTTCTTTATGATGAGAGTGATCTTCTTTATGATGAGAGTGATCTTCTTTATGATGAGATGAGAGTGATCTTCTTTATGATGAGAGTGATCTTCTTTATGATGAGAGTGATCTTCTTTATGATGAGAGTGATCTTCTTTATGATGAGAATGATCTTCTTAATGATCAGAACGACCTTAATGTTCAGAATTACCATCGTAATGACCAGAATGATCTTCATAATGATTAATTCAAAGACTTTAAAATACTTTTGGCAACTAAAATAACACTGTAAAAGCCATTTGACAGCTGATTACTTAACTTCTACGATGATCAGTGTTTCGGAAACCGAGCGTCAGCGTTTCGGAAACCGGGCGTCAGCGTTTCATTTCTCACTAGTGTACGTGTTCTTCTAGATAGGCGTTTACGTGCTATTTAGAAAAAAATAGCAGTTCTGTTTTTTATTATTGGATAAAAATAAAAGATATCGGAACAGAAACTATTAAAAATTCGTCACAGACAGACTCAGGAAGAGCGATGCGATGTTTGCTATTGAACTTTTTTTTGACAAACGCTCGAATGGACGAACGCTATGCTACGGCGTACGAATGAGTAAGTGTAGCAGCTCCTCCGAACCGTGTGATCGGCGTGACAATTTGATTCTTATAGTCACTGACTCAACTTTTCTTGTTGTAAAATAACCAAAACTTCCTCACGCATAAGCCTACAATAAAGTTATTATTTAAAATACAATGCAGTCAAAGCGGAGGCTTACAATTGGCATTAAATAAAATCACGTATCGAATTTTATAAAATATTTATATTCCTTAATACAGTCAAAGATATTCCTTTAATATTATTTATTATTAAAAGGGTGCAGACATTTTATGGGATTTTTCAAACATTGGGTTCATGAGGGACAGAATAATATTAAAATAGTGATCAAGTTTTAGTTTGATTTTGAATATTTACAACTTTTATTTATATGGGCCCTATGACATAAGACATTTTTTGTTCAAACAATCAGTACTTGAGATAATAGCTGTTAATAAAAACATTCCATACATGTTTTTGTAAAATATGCACCATATTTTTTTTTTCAAATTGCATAGCCAACTTACTATAGAATAATTCTATAGTAAGAGCAGTATTAATTAATAATTTATAGTTCTTTTTTTCAATTTTTGAAACTGCACTTCAACTGCACTTGAATTACATACTGCCTATAAAATTCAAAATTTGTATGCATTTCTTGGAATAGCGAAATTAGGGAAACCTCAGGCTCACAAAATTAAATCTTCCTACTGATGGATTGAACAATAAAGCCTTTGTGTTATTTATAATTTAAAGGCCAGTGAAGCCATGCCTGTTTGCTATATATTACTAAATGTACTAAAACTGTACACATTAAAGGTGATCAATTGAACCATGCACACAAATTTATTTACAATAGTTCATTCATCCACCAAAACGAACAGTTTTTTAATGCTGAATGTGGATTTATTAGTGTGTTGGGTCTCTTATATAATTCTAATCATATTTTGATATGAGCAAACATTATAGAATTGTAACTTTCCATTCCTTGAAAATATTGCTAATTTTCATGTGCTTGACAAATTGTATTCATAAATTGAGATGAAATGACTCAAATTTCATCTACACTATTATTCCTTCACTAAATATAATATTGGTTGTAGTTTAATACAATTATTAGCATTAATTCCATTGTTCTTGTTTCACCATCACGTTCCACATAAACAACTACCAATCCATTACACAGTGCACTGTAGTTTTACCCTACAAAAATCAGTCAAAGATATTTTAGGATGTCTTCTAAATCTCATTCTTGTGCTTTGCTTGCTTCTGTTATGGACTCGTACTGTTCCTTGTCCAGCTCTGTCATTGTGAAACTGCCATCGGGCAATAAAAGCACAACTCGTCGGGTGCCACCTATAACATGAATTAGAAAAAGTGAATACTGCTGTAATTAGCGATATCTCGTTACAAATGTTCATTGTTGAATGTTCTTTGTAAGGTGTTGTATGCTGTAAAGGATGCACAGTGGATGGAGCCAATCATTACTAAAAATGCAATAGAAAGAAAGTTGATAGATGTCTACATTTTCGTGTCGTGGGGTACATCGGCCTTTTAGCTCAGTTGGTAAAGCTTCTGTGCGCGAAACCAGAAGACGCAAGTTCGAATCCCGCAGCGCCGAAAGTTTTTCTTCATATAAGTAAAAAATTTACAATAAAAAAAGTTAATACTTGTATTAAAAAATCTAAGTTAGTCTATAGTTTCCACATCAACAATAAGATAATTTGTGAATTCACCAATCACTGTTCATGACTTTAGTAACATACAACCAAAATTATGAAGTAAAGTAAAATGAAGTGTGTGTCACCTGGCGAGGGTAGGTCGGCTTGAACGAGTTGGGCGATGACCTGAGTAGCATCCTCACCAGGCTCTCCCTCAACCTGGACGGCCACTTGCTGCAACGCGGGTGCAGCCTCACCGCCGGGCATCAGTTGCGCCAGTTGCGTAGGGTCGATGGCCAAAACATCCTGTGAATCATCATTGATGACTCCGTGGCGCAGTTACAAAGGTTTTAACTACGGCGTTGGGAGTCGTGGGTTCGATTCCCACAAGGGACAACAATTTGTGTGAAACACACATTTTTCGCATTTGGGTGTTTGTCTGTAAAATTTATGTATGTAAAACATCCTTACAACACAGTTTAACGTTATGCTAAATTAAGGGCAAATTTTTTAAAATGAAAAAAGAAATATATACAGCATGTCTACCACCGCGACAATAAATGAACACACGTCTAACGCTACTTGCCAATAATCATAAAAAAAATTTTAACATTAAAAAAATCCATAATTATAAAATAATATTTTTCAAACAAACTAATTAAGTAAAAAAGAAACAAAATTTGTAACATCCTATACTACTACAACTGACTGCATTCATACATTCAGAGACTTTTTCATTCGTTGTCACAGCGCCGCATTACAAGCCCCTCCTTCTAACAGTATGTTTTGTCTCTTTTAAATTCATTCAACCCATTCATATGCTTTGTGACCTTTACAAATGAACTTTACATTAAAGTTTTATATGTAAGGGTGTACTTAAATTCTTTGTTTTGGAAAATTTGATGACTCGTTAAATATTGATGATTAAAGAAATGTAAATGTAAATCTTTAATACAATTTTAAAAAGTTATCCTCTATATGTGTGTTCATTTATTGTCGCGATGGTAAAGACACGCTGTATATAAATACATATAGTTTGTAAACTTGTCACCACAATGATCTATCTAAGTGTGCCTCATTTAATATTCAATTAGTTGATCAAAAATTAGGCTAGTCTTCTGACATACAGTGGTATTTCTTCAGATGAGCTGCACAATTTTCAACACTCAAAATTTTTATTTATTGGGAAGGTAGATCAAACAAAGGCAAGTTCTGACAGGAGTATACCATTTTGATGGTTCACTCCTCATTCTCCTCACAGCAAACAAATCCATTAGCTTATAATGCTCCATTAGCTTATAGCATTAATCATCGATGCCCTATATGCATTGAATTTTTTTTATTATTCCTATGTGCTGAAAGTTGAAGACTTACCTGTCCATCTTCCCTTGTAACATACATGACACCATCACCCTCCCCTTCTACTCCGCCCTCCACTCCTTCTACTGCTCCTTCTACACCCTCTGCTGCTACTAACAAGGTTTGACCAGCTTCATTTTCACCAGCCACCTAAAAAAATCAATAAAAGAATTAAACCAAATTTTCTTTCCTCCTTCTTAAACATTAAACTTCTTCATTGTTTTATAATTACTTTTCAAAATTTGTTTTTATTATTTTTTCTAAATGCCATTTAACATGTGACCTACTTGATACAGGACTCCATCTTCCCCTCGGATCATGATTGGAGGATGACCAGCATGTAATAATCCAACCTCTTCACCTTCATCTACGCCAACACCACTTTCTAGAAGTTGCTTTACTGCACTAGCTTCAACCTTGACTTCTGTCTGTTAAGATGATAATTATGTCAACATTGTAATGTTGCAAAAATTTGTTAGCCAATATCAAGATATGATAGCAAGTTTTAATATTGATTAAAATTTATTCAAACTTGCTATCATATCTGGTAATTGACAATTTAAATTAGGAAATGAAACATTTATATAGCGTGTCGCTACAAACGCCACCATAAATCAATACACATATAGAGCATAACTTATTAAAATTGTATTAAACATTTACATTCTTTAAACATCAATATTTACAGAGTTATAAAATTTTCCAAAACAAACAATTTTAGATCACCCTTACGTTTAAAACTGTAACGTAAAGTTCATTTGTAAAGGTCACAAAACATATGAATGGGTTCAATGAATTTGAAAGAGAACACTGTTAGAAGAGATTTGTAATACGACGCTACGGCAACGAATGAAAAAGTCTGTGAATATATGAATCAGTCAGTTGTAGTTGTATAGGATATTACAAATTTTGTTATTAATTAATTAGTTTGTTTGAAAATTTTTTTTTAATTATGTATTTTTTAACGTTTTATATTTTTTATGATTATTGGCAAGTAGCGTTAGACGTGTGTTCATTTATTGTCGCGGTTGTAACGACACGCTGTATAGTAATAAAAATAATGATAATTTCAGATAAATTATAATTAGCACTCACTCCATCTTCATCTGTAAGCACAGGCAGTGATGGTTGTGCCCCATCACCTTGGACCAACATTCCTGTTGTACCACCAGGTGACATTTCAACCTTTTGAAGAGAGACATTTATAAATTAATATAAGTTGGGTCATGTAAAATGTACAGCTTTTGGAAAGCATTTTGATCATTATAACTTTCGTGAGACATTATTAAAGGAATAATGAAATGGCTCTACTCATGATCCACCGGCACATGTTTCACGTTTCAAGTAGTTTGGGGCGAGGCGCGACCGCGATCTCATCTAACTAACCTTAATGAATTACTATGGATAGGTCCGAAACTAATTGGTACATACACCGATTGTATGGGAGTTCAGCTGTTTGATTATTCCAGGATACTGATTATTCACAAAATAATAGTATAATAATGTCAATTAATTTATCTTAAAGGTTTGTGAAAGTAATTTAAGAGCAGTATTAAAAATAAGAAGAAAATTTCCTAATGAAAACTTGTACTTTTGTTTCACTGCAGATATATTTACATAAAAATATAGTTGATATAATGTAGGCAGTTGTAAATGCCATCATAATTTAATGATGCCTTAGTAACTGTTGCACAAATGGGCAGGCTTGTCCGGGGAAATAGCACGGCTTCACAGAAAACGGGTGTGAAGTAGAACTTTTTCCAAAGGTTGTCAACGCATCTGCAAGCCCCTCGGGTGCTGTAGATGTCCATGGGTGGCGGTATCCACTCAATATCAGATGGACCGGTTGCTCGCTTGACAACAATCCACATAAAAATATATGTAATAATTTCACTGTGAGGGTTATTACATTGGGAGATACCTTCATGAGCATCGTGGCGTTGTGCTGCGGGGGCGGCGTGGGTGCGGGAGGGGGCGTGGGCGGCGGCGGCGGGGTGGGGGGCGGCGTTGGCTCGCCCTCCGCGCGCGCCAACCGTTTGCCCGTGAGCGGGCACAGCGTCAGCTCCCGATCGGGGCTTGGCGGCGGCAACGGCCCTAGGTCCCGCGGGAACGGATCCTCTATACCGTCCGACGATTCGGACGACGCATCCGACTGCGGACAATGTTTTTTTTTTGTGACAATGGGCGGATACCTGGCTGGTCGTGTTTTTATCGAGAAGGTGGCAAACAAGCATTTGGTACACTTTGTTAAGGATGAATAGTGGTGCATTTAATGTACCCACAGCATTGCTGTTACTTTAACAAATTTATCTTGTTTTATATAGTGGGCTTGTTTACCTCAATCATCAGATAAAATTAAAAAAGTTCACTTCTTCAAACTACAAATTCTTTTAAGTCACTCTATTTGTCTGAAATCATAGTTGATGTTAAGCGCCATTCATTATCAGCAGATATTTTAGTGAAATCAAAGAAACTGATAGTAACAAATGCACTAGCTCTGTAAAAGCTTGTTCAGTCTTGCTTTGAAGTATAATGTTATGATCAAATGTAAATGCAGACAGTGGCAGTGTTCCATTAAGCTGGTGTCTTGAGCGATTAGCTTCATCAATTTATTTCAGGGCTTAAAGGGGTCGAAATACAGCCACTTACTCTATCAAAGTCGAAGGAGATGGTCTTGTCGCGTATGCGGACGATATTGCCAGCCGCCGTCGCCACCGCGTAACCGGCGCGTCCTCGGCCGCGGCCTAGTCCGCCCCGTCGCAAGAGACTGTCGCCCTGGACATATGAAAAAAATGTGTAACATATTAGTACTTTTTTAAAGTGGTTAAAAGCTCAAGTCACCAATTGTATAGTAAATCAATAACAACCTGCTGATACACCAATACACAGATGATAGTTCAAATTACTAACGATATCTATTTCGGTATGAGAGATTTCACACTGAGGCAGTCTTTGAGTTGTCAGCCTTGTCAATTGCCATGCCAATTTTATAAGATTGAATACCAGATTTTTACATTTAATTAAAGTTTTAATTCCTGATGATTCAAACATTTTATATGAGTCCACCAGAGTCTATGTTCACCAGAAAAATGCAAAAAAGGAAACCATACATCTTAGCTTCTACTATTCAGAATATGTGTATGAGGTCAGATATAATTAAGGGACATTCTGCTCATAACTGCTTTAGTTTTCGTGATTGGACATTTGAACAGGCGCAGTACCTAGACTTTCGATTTCCTACAAGACAACAAGAGACTTGGCAGATTTTAATTCATTCTGAAGTTAATAATAATTAAATTAATGCAATTTTAAATTGGCTAAAAGGCTAGTTTGCGAGTTCATGCTTTTCCCATCTGCAACTGCATCTCCATTAGATATTAAGTGTGATATAGTGGTCAATCACTGGCTGATTCTTAAAAAAAAAAAATATCAATTAGACAAAAGGCTTTACCTGTGCCAACTTTTTGTTAAGGATAGTTACAGGAGACTTTCCTTCTGACTGTCCGTAAGGCCTCTGTATAGTACGTTGTATAATTTTTTGCCCAGAAGGTGTTATAATAGTCTTTTCTGTCACTTGTTGGCCACCAGATCCATATGTTCTTTTCGGCTACAATCAACACATTATTATTTAGAAGGCTGTCAAATTAATACAACTAGTATGAATATGATACAATCATGCAAAATTTATTAATGATTAATGATTATTAATATAAAATTATTTATAAACATTTTAATTTTATGCACACAAATTGATTTGTTTAACAAGAGATTTTGATAAGTTGTCCTAAAATAATAAAGGTAATGAAATACATTATAAGTGAAAAATAGGCCATACTTGTGACGAAATTGGTGTACGCATTGGTGAACTCTTTTTACTTTCTTCTAGCTTCTTCTGTTTAGCAGCTAAAATTTGTTTCCGAATCACATCCTGATCTATGTTTAACCCTGGACCCAATTTACCTGGAGAATCAATCTTCATGATTCCAGAACTCTTGGACATTATGTAAACACCTAAAATAGAAAGATGAATAAAATTACTTCTTTGTTTAGTTTAAAAGAAAGAATATAAGATTTTTAAATATTAAAACAGTTTAGTTTACTTTTGATATTCATATTTAACAATTTGGGCAATGTTAAGTTATATGGACAATAACAAAAATATTCATTATTTATTCTGATTAAATTTATTTATTATTCTGTATAAATGTTATTGTTTATGTAGAATTTTAAGTATATGCCAATTTCCATATTTCAAAACAATCATGTCATTTTTTTATTTGATCAAATATAACTGTTGAAATATCTGTTTGAAAAATGTGATCAAAATACATGAAAGTTTATAGAGGTATAATATTAAACCAAATTGTAATTTTAGACAGTGTAGTAGTTTTAAAAGTTATCCATTATGCTAATTGTTTTATCAAGTGAAATTCTCACTTAACTGAATATATTATTAATGAAATCCGTTTATGTACTAAATAGTTATAACACATAAACTTTTTCAAATTTAATTATTGTATACAACAAGCCATCATAAAATTGATTAGTTAATAATGGTTTTTAAAATGTATAGAAGAATAATAATGTACCCTGTTATAATTTGCTCATGGACATTATAAGGACCATAATTTAAAACTAATATACAAGTAATGCCATGCCGATACTATACTTCATTAATTACAACTTATGTACAATGTGATCATTTCTGGTCTGTATTGATTCCCAACATTGTCTAATTTATGGACAACATAATTTATCGAAACTTAATTGAACTAGTTAATACAGAAAATAATTATTGTAGTAAACATATTGTTTACTTGCTATTTGAAGAAATACACTATGTGCTACACATTTATAAAAAAAAAACGGGCGAAGCGCGAGTCGGAATCACGCTTCTATAAAAAGCATTATCTATAAAAACAGCAAAAAGTCATGTTTTATTCTGTTTTTAGTATTTGTTGTTATAGCACACAGACACAGCCTGGTCAGAGACAGACAGCAAATTCTTAGTAATAGGGTCCAGTTTTACCCTTTGGGTATGGAACCCTAGAAAAAGGCAATGATCATCATTTGAAATTAGGTGCAATTAGAAAAGTGATAGTTGCGAAAAATAATCTACCTGTGGTAAGATTCGGCATATGTTTTGGGTCGACTTTGATGACGCCCTTAATATTCGGCATTCCTTTGCCCCCCAGTCCGAGCGATTTGACGAGATCAGGGTCTATAGATGACTTTGGTGATTCCGTACCATTCCCATTCATTACTTTCTTCTCTGCTGAAATCGCGAACAATTGCAATAATTGTAATACTTTATTCAAGTATATTTTAAGGAATTAAGTCAGTTCCGTTTTCGGGTGTATTATAATTATATTTTTCAATATTAAGAGCATGATAATATATAATTATGTACATCGCACTTTGCTATCTTTTAAATAAGCTGTTACAACTTGTTTTAACCTGACATATCTATGACCTTAATACTAGGACATTTGAAAAACGAAATTTTCGTTTATTACGTTAATTTTGTAGCCCTTATGCTGCTGGATCACCTGTATGATAACATAATATATAGCACACAATAGTTATTTTACCTCTGGGAGAATCTGCATCAGAATAATCCTCCTCTTCACTGGATAGCTCTTTCTTTATCTTCTTTGCAGCAGGTTCATCCTCCGCGCCACACCACGCTTTCACTTGGTCCAAAGCTCTTACTTTGCTGGTTCTTTGCAGACGACTAAACATGAGGGAGTTAAAATTTATATGTAGGTACCAAAAATTTATTTTGACAACCAAGGAATCCTTAATTTACGCCATTCATCAGTTTGTCAGTCATTGAACTTGTAGTCAAAACCTAAAGTGGTTTAAGATAATATGTGAAGATGCAACCACAGATAACAGCAAAACATTCAAATAGTACAATAGTGAAAGAAAAACTAACAATAGAAATTAATACTGCTAATATATTAAAAAATTACATAATCTTACCCAGATGATGAAATAATAGGGCTGTCGGATTTCTTTACTACTTGCTTAACTATCTGTGGTAGGGGTGTACTGATTTGTTTCACCTAAAATACATTTTTAATGTTATTAATATGTTCAACTTGATCCTTAATTAGTTATAAATAAAATTTAAAAATTTCTTAATCCATAATTAGTTAAATAAAATTATTTTTTTAAAACTTTAGATTAAAAAATAACATTATTAATAAAGGATAAAATCATGCCTGCACTGGGTGTTGTTGTTGCTGTGCTCTTAAAGCTTTTAGTTCCTTCTGTCGGGCTAGTTGCTTCTCAAATGCTTCCAAAAGGTGCTTACAAGTCTCCATATTCTCCACAGGTTCCCATGTATTTTGTTCACTATACAAAGTTGTACATATTACATCAAAACATGAAGAAGTCAAACATAATAAAAGTATTTATAGGTTATTTATTTTTATAAAACATGGCAAACATGTAAAATTAATATTACTTTACCTAAATATCATAATTTTGCTAATTTAAGATATTAATCGAAACAATTGCAAAAATTGTGTGAATTATAAAATTGTTTTTTTTTTTAATTTATCATAGTACAAATTGAAACATAAAGGATATTTTCATTATTAAAACTTACATTTAATTGTGACTTGAGGTTGAAAAAGAGCCATGCAGAATGTCTTGAAGTAAAAAAGACAAAACTATGCACTCACAGATGAATGCAACATAAAGAGTTTATGTACTCACTGAGGGTAGCCTTCCCATTTGAGTAAATACTCATACTGTTTCCGCCGTGGATTAAATCTCTTCGCAAGAATCTTTTCAACAACATACTCTCCAGCTTCTGCTGGATCACCACCCTCACGTTCCGAACGCCGAGCTATCCGTTCCTCGGGTGGTACTCGCTCTTGAGCATTTCTTACAGACTCCTTGTCTGTCAAATCCTTGATTTAGAAATAATAAAGACCATTAATTACACTATTTCTAGTAAGTACATAAATCCCATCCCAAAGTTAATCTAATTGCTGTGGTATTCTACTATGGTAAAAAAATTATGTAAAAATCACACTGAGTTGTTAACAATTTCAAATAGTTGTATATTTTTATTTGTTATTTAACAATCAAGAATTGGGTAACCTGATGTTAGATACCTTAGATTTTGGAGTTTGGAATGTTACTGCTTTAGACAGCAGTCTCTGAGCAGGGCTGGCCTTAATATCATCACTTTCTTCACCTGATGGCTGGGTTTCTGAATCTTCCTGTATAATCATAAAAAATCATTATTGAATGATTAGTAACAATCAATGTAATAAAAATTTCAAATAGGAAAAATACATACTGCTCTTGGAAATTTTCTAGGCCTTCCACGCTTTTTGACTTCAGGTGGTGGAGCTTGGACAGGAACCACATGGTCTTCAGTCTTAACTTCCATCTGAATAAATGAAACTTATAGAAAACTCATAAATTTTAATACATATTCATTTACATACTATATTTCTACTTGCAAGATAGTTCATGATATAAATGAAAATGATATGAATGAAACTTATAGAAAACTCGTTAAATTTTAATACATATTCATTTACATACTACATTTGTACTTGTAAGATAGTTCAAGAAACATTGAAAAGGTTAAAAAATATTTAAAAAAACTAAACATATATTTCATGTGATACTGCTGTTATAAAAGAAGTGAAGTTATAGATAAATTAAAAATATAACTTAAACATGCACAAAAATATAAATTTTAATGATTATAATATTATAAAATAGTTTTTGTACACTACAATATTTACTGGTTTTTGTTTTAAATATTAAAAATATTTTAGAAAAATACTCTTTCACTTACAACTTTTGCATGAGCGAATTTAGATAATTCTTGGACATTTGATCCAGCGGTTATCCAGGCAGTTCTTTGAGCTTCAGGCATGCGGCACCACTGTTGATACAGTTTCCAACTGTTGTCCGCATTTGATGTGGATCCATCCCGTGCAGAAGAGCATTTCCATAGAAGAAATGCCCAAACTTGGGCTTTGCTTTCATTCTACAATAATGCAAATACCAAAAATTCATTATTAATAAGGACATATACCCAAACGAAAACTTATTGACTCTTTGACCTTACATATTTGTGTATACTCAGAACAGAAGTTAGACAATGATAATATATATATATAAGTTGTAAAAGACCTATATGGATGATATAAAATAAATTTAACAAATATTTTACAAAAAGGTTATTAAATGTTATTAAGGCAAATGTTCATTTCAACTGTTATTAATATATATCACTATGGACTAGGGTGGTAAAAGTACCAACAATGAGGCTATTTATAGTATGCAAAGTACAATATCTCTACTATTTATGTTGTAGTACTTACGCTATCTCTTACTGGAGACTTGCCAATACAGTTATTGGCTTCTTTATGCTCTTTGAACTCCTCAAAAAAATGGAATGCAGAATGGCACTGCCCACAAACAAGTACATCAAGAGTTGCCATTTCTTCGTGTGCTTCTGCAATATGAATTGTTTTAAATACCCTTTAGTACGAGGTTTTCTTCATAATTTTAGAATAACGACTAATCACCTTTTAAAGCTGTGGGATTCTTTGTCAATTCGTCAGGATTTCCCGCCGTAACTTCTTCTGCCGAAGGCGATTCGCCTTCCTCTACAGAGGTCATTATTGCACTTTTAATTAATCTGTAAACTTTCAAAAATACTTATGTAGACCTTCAGGCTTCATGATGAATACAGACGTAATATTTAATCACAAATATAACCTTGCAAAACTAGACCGGTAACTTCCCGCCAACTAAATTATCATATTGTTAACTAATATTCCTTAAATGCTAATATTGTCTATTTAAAGCTTTAAATGACAAAAACAAATGTGTCACAATCACTTAATTTATATTTTTATTTACACTCAACATTTGTATTGTTTAATTGAAAAATTTTTATGATATGACACAACAAGAATACGACGCTTAGCTTAATGCTCTTTTAAATATGCTGCCTTGATGCTATAAACATTCAATTCAAGTATTCACTGTTATTGTAATTAATTCACTTTTTAATGCACATAATTTACACAGAACACTTACCAAAACAATGTCAAAATTCTTACTTTTTTTTAAACAAATTATTACACTCCGTGGACACAACGAAAAACGGAACAGCTAGAACAAGCATCAAATACTTTATGAAGGAAAAAAAGCGTTCACCGACAGAGTCATACCGCCCCCTAGCGTTCGCCGACTTTTCTTGTTCTCTTTACCTACAGAAATGTAAACGACCAATAGCGAACGTTTTTAATTTTATTTCCACCAATTAAAGAATAAGGACAAAATGCGCATACCATAACAAACTTGCTATCAAAGAGTTAGCGATATATTTCGCCGTCAATTACGACTACCGACACATTATACCGACACGTGACAAAATATCACTAAAAGGTGGTTTCGCGATTGCATTGTTGTATTTGTTTCATTTAAATGGTATTATTACTTCTAAGTCATATATACTGTTGCATCAATATAATTTTAGTTCTAAAAACAATACTGAAAAGCTAAACAATGCATGTCATAACAACATAATTTGAGTAAAGAAACAAATGCTATCAGGTATGGTGGTCAAAAATAAACAATCGCTAATGAAATCGTGATGACGAAATTATTAATAAAATAATGTAATGTACACCTATATGCATACTTGACATGAATATTGATTAAAGAACATACTTTCGCCAAATGTAAACCCATCAACCCAATGAATGGCATGAATTACGGTTATTCTCGTAATTTTTCCATGGTATCTATTTAAACTTCAAGTATAACTAATAAATTAATATAATAATTTATAAGTAAAAAAAAAAACATTACATGAACAATCGTGCATATTTGCATGATTATGATAGATGTCATGAATTGTTATTTCTGGTTTCTATAACTCACTACAAACAATTTTATTGGATTGGACTCGAAGAACGGTCCCATATTACGATTACGGTACGATATTATTTTAGCTTCTAAGACTGGTCTACCGTAGTAAGCTCTTGAAGAGTAGTGAAGAAAAATAGTATTTAAAGCCACTGTGATGGCTTTAAAGACATAATTTTTTTAAGAAGAAGTAAAATATAATATGTTGATTACATTTCATAGGTGCGGGCGGGATAGCGGTAGGAGGCGCTGGGGTCATGAATCTTAAACATGTTCGAACACAATTTAAAAAGAATTTTGTAGAGCGTTTTTCTAAAGTATATTGTCATTTTATATTGGTAATTCCTTGCGTTTAATTATTTAAAATAATTTAAAGCTAAATTTAGGATATTATAAAAATTGTTTATTGTATACAGCATTTTTATTTATTTATTTGATGATTATCTTCATAATATGTACATTATTGTGGCTTTATAGAGAGGGGCGCTGGGTTCTGAATCAAAACCCAGCCCGAAGTAAGCCATAACTCAACTAAATTCAAATAATAGTAATAATAATTAAAGTTAATTATTACTATTATTTGAATATTCATCTGACTATACTCGCCCATCGTTTTTTTTTTGTTACATGGAATGTAAAAATAACTACCTTTTACTAAATTACTTTTTTAAATATAAAGTGCGTCAAAATATTCAAAATTTTAAAAAGCAATAAGTAATTCATTACGCATGTATAGTAAAATACATACTATATTAGTAATAAGCTAAAAATGCGATAAAATGACAGAGGTCTCACTACTTATTAGGTGATTTTTTTAACTAGGATTCTCTTCAATCAACGCAATTTAATTAAAAGAATTCCACAATCCACGCAATTTAATTTAAAGAATTCGTTAGGTAATAAAGTTATTGTTTTTTTTTGTGAGAAAATGGCAAGCGAGCTGGCGGTTCACTTGATGGTTATGTGATATTCGCCGGCCATAGTCATTTGCAATACCCGTATAATTACAGATGTGGCTATGTTACTCACCAGATAAAACACAGAAATACCTACCTATAATCCTAACTCAACTAAAACTTTCAATAATAATTATTCTACTCTATCTTATTTACTTTTAATAATTTTCAACATACGATGGCGGAGTGAAAAGTTTGGTAAAAATATATGTTGGAATAAATGTACCGCAAATTACATATATATATATATATTTGTATATTTATATATATGTCTTTAATTATTTATTGTATGTGTTATTATTGTATATTTTCAATTCATAAAAATAATATAATTATTGCACCTGCCACGATTTCTCACCACGCCCCGGGTTGACTGGGAGAGAACGCCAAAAGGCATTAAGTTCGCCCTGTGTAATCCTTGCTTAAGGTAATTGCAATAAAGAATAAATAAATAAATAAATAAATAAATAAATAAATAAAAGATGTAGTTTCGTGTGTTGATTAAACATTATTTTTTAATAAAAAAATGTAGGCTACGGAAATGAAATAAGCAATGGTTTGTTACGGGCGAATCAGCTCCAAAGAAGGCTTATGTTGTTTTATCGTCCAATATGACCGTGAAGGACTAAGGACGAAGCCTACGCCTATTTCGAATCGTAGAATATTCGTAGCAAAATATGGAAGTAAATGAAAAGCTAAAAAGCTAGAGAAACGCTAGTGTAGTCTAGAAAAGTGCATTAATCTAGAAGATAGCTACGTCGAAAAATAAATAATACTTTTAAAATTTGGCGGCTGGCCAGAACTCTCGCTATGTAGTCCTTGATTTCCGACGCAAGCTTCTTGCTTCGTATTTGTATATTCACTCTAGTGATAGGGACCACAAGATCACATGGAATTGGGGTGCCCTACGTCGGATCTGTGACTCACTTTGAACCTAACCTAATCCACTATTAACTTATGTCAAACGAGGCTTCTTGATGTATAAAAATGTATACTAAAAAACTAAAATGTATAATGACACGACTATCTCGAGTGACTCTATCTCATCAGGGTTTTTATCTTAGTGCTGAGAGCTCGTTGATTCGAGGCCCTGACCTAACTTTTTCCAGTCACGATCATAAGAACCGTCGTGCCTGGTCGGCTTAATACAAAGTTGACTGGGCGATGGTCAGAGTTAAATTCAATAATTACTTCCAAAGAATATACCCGTAAATAGACATCCATTAGAATTGATATATGTAAAATTTCGAGATTTTGATTCAGGTTCGGAGGCACCCATGTGGGTCCAGGGGCCTAGGACATCCAAAACTAAAAAATAAATTATATTAAATAATTAAAAGAACATAAATAACAATATAATGCTACTGCTCCGACCACTGGGTCGGACGAATGCGTCCAATGGACGCCATCTTTGCACATACAAATCCATAAATGTGAATAGAAACAATCCTCAATATAAGTGTATAATCTATGAAAATAAGTGTAGGAGCTCAAAGATTTTATTCGAACGTTTAATAAATATTTCACAAAATAAAATATTTTTATAAACAATTGCACACGTCTAGGACCGGTTTAATTATTGTGTGAATTTAAGTATTTGTGCATAATTTAACTAAGTGCAGATTATAACAACGCTTTTTCTTTAAATGTTGTATCATTTAAACAGTTATAGGCTTTATTTATTTAACTACAGATTTATTCTCATTCCGAGAGAAGAGAGAAGAACCGATTTAAATGAAATTTGGTACACAGATAGTCTAGAGCCTGAGAAAGGACATAGGCTATTTTTTAATTGGAAAAAAAGTATTGTAAAGGGTTGAAAGGTTGAAGAAAGATATTTATTTAAGAGCTTTAACGCGAGCGAAACGCGGGCGAAAAGCTAGTGCAAAATAAGATATTATAGGTATTTTACAATGTTAAAATTGGTAGGAAAAAAGGACGAAAAGTTTATTATCGCTGCTGCGAGAATCGAACCCACATCTTCGAGATTCGCACCAAGGCGTTTTAACAACTAAGCTAATCGACCGATAGCCACACTGACGAAAATGTCAACACCTTTTATCTACATCGCTTTTTCGCATTTCGAGCAAGGCTTGGCGCATATGTTTTAAAGAGTAAATAATTTTAAACTCGTCGCAAATAGGAAAACGACACACAACGAAGAGAAAGAAAGAAGATGAAATAATTAGAATAACACCATACAAATTAATTAATTTATGAAAATATAAAGAAAATAAGCCCGCCACTTCTAGAGTCACACAATTAATGCCCGGTCGATTTTTTTTGGCATGATATACTACTGTTGGCTTTAGAGCCTTTCGATCAATCCGCCGGAATTGACCAGGGATCTGCAAAGGCGCTCGGGGCGCTTAGCCTGAATCTCGGTTGAACCGGTCAACTGCCAAGCGAGGCGATTTATATCAAAGTGGAGCGGTGGGGTTGAGTGCCGACGTCAAAGCGGTGGAGCGATCGTCTAATGACTTACGATGCCCGTGCGCCGTTATATATGTATATTAGCTCCTTACCTATGAAATGAGCGTTTTGTCGTAACTGACCACTTTGATCGGAAATATCTTCTCTTTGGTTAAGAATTCCAAATTCAAATTTATAAATTCAATTTTGTTGGTACATTTGACTTTTGAAAACAGTCATTCATTTGTTTGTACCTCATTATTTTATTCATTGGCTTCGCGTATTACCGCACAATTAAAAACATATTTACGAGTACAAGTTCTACCGTGGCACCAGTGCTGCAGAAACAGCTCGAAGGATTACCAAGAAGGAATA